TCCGGCGAGCCTGGTAATTTTCCACGGGGTCTTCCTTTGTGTATAAACACGGATATGAAGTGAGCATGGGAAACCCGCACGTTTGAGGGAGCATTTAAAAGCCCGCAGGTCACCTCGGCGACAGGAGGACACGCCGGGGACCGCGAGGCACCTGCCCCTTTCGTCGGGGTTTACGCGTCTTCGGCGGACTCCTAAAGTGCTCAGGTTTTCATGACGTATCTAAGGTGCGTATAAAACGCTTTGTGATGTTTATAGCTTCTATTTGACCGTTTCCCAGGACGTCCCGAGCTTTCGGCCTATGTGAGGGGCCCGCTGGGCGGGACTTCGGGCAACGCTGTCCGAGGCCAGGCAGCAGGCTTGGGCCCCTCTATTTATTTCCCCTTAAAGACTCCCCCGTAAGCGCGGTCGTCGTGATGAAGACGGAACGCGGTGGGTTACGAGGCTTGGAACCGATGAAATTCGTTTTTGACTCAACGTTGAAACGGAAGAATGCGGGAAGGCCACCGGCCGGAGATGATTGCGTATAAAGGTATACGATCAGAATGATTTATTACCAACCGATCTTGGAGGACGGTGTGGAAGACACACGGAAAAAAACATATTTATATATAGAAACTAAAGTGGAATCGGGAAAAGAGCAACTGAGTCCACAGCCCCGACAGGCGCCGGAAGCAAACAGCATCGTGGGACAGGTGCACAAGTCGTATTTTTCCAGGGAAACATTCCAGAGGCATTTGGGTGCCGATATTCTGACATCGGCCAACGCCGGCAGGCGCCTGGGACGCGGCGACGAGCGTCGTCAAGACGCGCAGCGGAAACTTCATGTTTGTTTTTCCCCCCACACACTACACCTACGTTTTGGCATTTTCCAAACAGGCGGCCAAGCGGTGACCGGCCCTGTAGTTTCTCGATATGTTACGTCCAAGCCCCAAGTCACGTGAAAGGACATTTAGAGAACGTTTCCCCCCAAAAACTGCAGAATAGGCCTCGTCCTCAAGCACACAGGGGACATTCGCAAAGACAGACCCCGTGTCAGGGCACAAAACACGTCTGTACAAGCTCAAGAGGTTTGAGAGCATGTCAAGCATGTTTTTCGGACATTCACGCCGTGGAATACTACGCAGCCGTGAAAAAGGCAGATCTCTTACCCTTTGGGGCAGCACTGGGGGGACGTGGAGAGTGTCACGCTGAGTGAAGTAAGCCCGTCAGAGAAAGACAAGCACCGTATGAACTCACTCACACGCGGAACCTAACGAACAAAATTAACTGAGGAACAAATTAGATGCAGAGACGTGGACGCATCCAACGGACGGGGGGAGCTCAGAGGGAAGGGGGCGGGAAGAGAGGAAGCAAAGAACTTCTAGGCATCTGTGCATAACTCAGGGACCCAGACAATACTGTGGGGAAGGCCTGGGGGGCGGAGGGATCGATGGCAGGAAAAAGGGGGCACCTGTAATACGTTCGACAATAAAGATAAATGAAAGCATTTAAAAGAAAAATTGAAATCACAGCTAAGCGACAAGGGCATGGGCCTTGAAGATGGCGCGTGGGACCAGCGTGGCTTGTGGCCTCGACGTGTCCGGCTCGTCCCGTGGGTAATAATCACGAACCGATGGCCCTGCCTCGCCACTTCCACCTCATCGGGGTCCCCGATTCCTCCCCACCCTCGCCACCTGCCCCAATCCAACCGGATCTCCGTGCGTCTGGCTTAATAGCCGAGGGACAGAGGCCCAGAGACACGGAAGCGAGGAGCAGGCTGAGGGGACGGAGGGGCCTGCGGAAGGGACGACCCGAAGAACTTGCACGCGAAACTGCATAACCCGCCCGCGGACACACAGCCGCGTGGGGAAGGCCTGGGTTTCGACCTGCATTCCTCCCACGTGTCGCAGCACACGCAACACATGCTCACGGGACGTCAGCAGACAAGGTGACCAGAGGCGTCGTGACGGGCGAATGGCGATTGCTATTGGCTTTTTCCGGGTTTGAGGAGATAATTTTTTTTTTTATTATTATTGTCACCGTTTGCGGTGCGACTCCACTGAATCGCTTCCGTAGGCGCCAAGGACGTCAAGGGACAATCCCGCCCATCAGCCGTCAGGGAATGGGACAGAAACGGACCCGTGGATGAGACGGAAAAGGTTTAATTTCCCTGAAATCGTAAGTAGCATGAGGATGTCTCTCCCTGGGAGAGGGAGAGAGAGAAACATTGATGTGAGAGAGACACATCGATCGGTTGCTCCCCAACCGGGCCAGGGATTGTGGCTGAAACCCGGGTCCGTGACCTTGACCGGGAATCGAATCCAAGACCCTTTGGTGCTCAGGCTGACGCTCTNTCCCCAACCGGGCCAGGGATCGAGGCTGAAACCCGGGTCCGTGACCTTGACCGGGAATCGAATCCAAGACCCTTTGGTGCTCAGGCTGACGCTCTAACCCCTGAGATATGCTCGCCGGGGCCTAATGGTGAGACTTAACCTGTAAGTGTCTCACTAGAAGGCGTTGGTACCGGTTGGAAGTCACCTAGTTACTCAAAGCGGGAAAGAAACAAAGGGAGGCCTGTCGCGGGGCCGCTTTGCCAGGACGCTGCAGGCTAACTCTCCCCGGGGAGACGCCGGCTCCTTTCCTGCAGGTCGCTGGGGGACGGGACTGGCCGGGGGGAGATGGACGCGGGCCTGGTGACGCCTGGGTGCCGCAGGGAAGGTGCCTGCCTGTCGGCCGCAGCTGGGGACGCAGCTGGCATGGCCACGGCAAGCAGCGGGAGGCTGGAGATATTTAATGCCCTAAACACAGGCGTCTGCCCTCTCGGGTCCTCTGGGTTGACCGTGGGCTTCAAGGCGCCCACACAGCTGCTCCTTTACATTCACCCGCGTGGCCCACGGCCCTGGGGACCCCACCCTCAATGGGCTAACGGGCTGCCACGAGCCTGAGGCTGCCCTGGGCCCGGCTGCAACTCGGAGGGAAACTCTGGACACGGGCTTTGCTCCCGGCTCTGCTGAATCCCCAGCTGCGCCTCTCCCGGGACGGGAGGAAGGGAAACGGGACTTTGCAAAGCCACGGATGTCATTCCGCCCAAATAAAAATCACCCATCCGCATCTCAGAAAATGCTTCTTCTTGAGATATTGTAAGGAGCCGGCCCCCAGCACCCTGATAAAAAAAAAAAAAGAGAGAGAGAAAGAGAGGAAGGGAGAGGGAAAGAGGGAGAAACGCCAATGTACGGGCCTAACATCGGTCGGCTGCCTCACGCACGCCCCCTGCTGGGGATGGAGCCCGCAACCTGGGCACGTGTCCTGACCCGGGAATCGAACCCGCGACCTCTCGGTTCCTGGGTGGAGGGTGAACCGCTGAGCCACAGCAGCCGGGCAGTAAGTAGTTTTTACCACCATCCTCCGGGTGCAGAAACGGAGGCACAGAGAGGTCAGAAAACTCACCCAACGGATAAAAGATAAAAAAGTCCAGCATCCTGACCCACTATGCTCTAACTTACACGCATAATTTAATAATAATTATAATTCCCTAACTACGTGTAAGGGGGAAACATGCAACAATAGAATATATATATTTAGCGCATGAGATAATGAAGTGGCCCAGAGCTTTGGGGGGTCGATTACTTGTACCAGGGACTCAAACACTCAAGACCAGTGTTGGAATTTTCCTGAAATTGTTAACGACTCTTGGTAAGTTTCCAGGCGAATTAACGACAATTTTCTCTCTAATTGCTTGGCAGCTGTGTTCCTGGAAAAAAAAAAAAAAAAAAAAAATCACTGCCTCTTAAAACGGTGCAAAAATAAAAAAATAAAATAACTCCTTGACTTTAGATAGAAAACCGAGTTGGATTCTGCATTCGGATCATTAGTGAGCGCTTTAATATATCAACGCTCGCCCGGTGGGACCTTTCCAAGTTCTGTGGGAAATGGCACAATTCTTTTGTTTGTTTTTGTTTGTTTTGCGATGTTTCGTTCTGCGGTTACGTAGACCGCGGAAGGCTTTATGCTTCCTGGCTCCTGCCGCTAAAGGAGAGGAACGACACTAAATTATTTTACTAACAGAGACAAGAAGTGAAGCCCATAACCAGCGTTTAACAGTTATCTATAGATCAACTCAGGATCTCCTTGTGCTCTGAAATTCTAGGTAAATGCTTTGGGGGAAGCTGTCAGCACCTGTCAGCAAATTCTCAAATCACGGTTATCATTCGTCCCCCCCGACACTAAGAACCACAGACCTCAGGTGTTACATGACATTCTACACGATTTTTATGATCTTTTTCATATACACAGAGTGTCCCACCAAAGGACGTGTACACACTTTGAATAACTATCAAGCCACTGTTTGTATTTCAACTGTGTTTTCAAAGTTCCAGTAGCATTTTAGGATGAATTTCCTTTGTTCACAGCTTACTGTGGCTGAAAAGAAAGAAACATCCATTGAGCTATCAGCTGTTGAAGTGCGTACACATGTTTTTGGGACACCCTGGGGTATGTGCAGCCATGAAGGCAAGTTTCATTGCAGAGAGAGCACATGATCAGCTGGGTGTGAGGTAAATAATGGCTGGGGGGGGGAAGGGCTCAATAGTTCGTATACATAGTTGTCTGAATGTGTCGTCATAGTAGCTTTGTTGTTAATGTTGTATAAATCTACAATTGTTTATGTTTGCATTTCTTAAATATATTTTTATTGATTTTTACAGAGAGGAAGGGAGAGAGAGAGAGAAACATCATTGATCGATTGACCCCTGCATGCCTCCTACTGACAATCGAGCCCACAACCCGGGCATGTGCCCTGACCGGGAATCGACCTGTGACCTCCTGGCTCATGGGTGGATGCTCAACCGCTGAGCCACTCCAGCTGGGCTAGGACAGCATTTGTTACAAAAATTAGTCGTTATTTTGTAAACTGAAGGCAGCAACTTCACGCACGGTGATGTACAACCTGAATTTGCATGCCATTTGGGGATGCATGAGCTTTCATGTAGATCAACGGTTATTTGAAATGATTCTTTTTTAATTTTACATTTTCTTGTGCCTGTGTCAAAGGTGAAGGGAAGGCTGTTGGCACATGGGCCCTCTGGGCAGGAAAACGTCCCCTTCCCAAGAAGATCAATGACATCAGTTTTATATTTGCAACGTCGGATGATTGAAATAGGCGATCGATTAAACTAATTCTAATAATGGTGCAATTTCTTTTTTCTGCCAATTCATGGAACAGAAGTAGAGCGTTGGCAAGTTCATTCTGTTTTAGGTGAAACACCTGACTTGTGGTGAATGCTATGTTCCACATGGAAGATGGAATTATTGGTTTGGCAGTCTTACTATAAATACAAATTTCAGTGCAGTGCAAATCGTGGAGAAAATTATGTTCTTAGTAAATTGAGAGATGCATGGAGAAGACATGTTCTCTGGAGTAACCGTGACCCAAAAGTCATTCATAATCGCAACATGATAAGTGTTCTATCAACAAGTATCACAGTCAAAGCTGATATTGTCCATAATGACAATGTACATATTACAGTAGAGATTATAAAAAAATGTTTTTCAGACTCTTGGGGTCCCTGAGAGCCTATGAAGGTGTTCAAAACAAGAGATCAAAACAATCTTGTGCCTCATGATTCTCGTGTATGGAAACTTTGAAGAGGGAGATCGACGTTGCCAGAGAGAGAGTGTTTCCCACATGCCAGTATCCGCCAGGTCCATCTCCAGACTATTCCAGTGACCGTGGGTCCCACATTGAGTGTCTGAGTCTTGGTTTCATCAACTTGCTAAAAAAAAGAATTCTTTATACCCTGCCTGTGTTCTAGAGTCAGAATAAAATTAAGAAGTAGGCATAAACGTGCGAGTCCATTATAAAACCGNATTAAGAAGTAGGCATAAACGTGCAAGTCCATTATAAAACCGAATGCAATTGTAAATTTGAATTATTGCCACATGATCACAATTATTAAACGCTGTCTTTTTAAGAACTGAAGCTGAGTTAATTTAAATTCTGCTTTATCCCTTATGTATGGGATTCAGTGTTATTATTGTACATTTTTCATTTATTCTCATGGCGAGCGCATTAGCTATCCTTATAACTTAATATGCAGGCAGGCTTCCAAACCCTTCCAAATACATGCATTTAGGATAGCCATAAATTGGAAGATATTTACTGAAATAATGACTTCTAATTATGAATATGAAATGGATTAAAAGACAAGAATTGATCAGATTAGCCAAAATAAAATAAAATAAAATAAAATAAGACTTTGTGGATGCTTATAGTCCTGATTTATTGCAAGGGTTCATAAATCCGGGCTTTTAGAGGTTCAAACTATATATTTTGCACTTGATTTATAAAACCTACTAATACATCCATTTCAACTTCTCATTGGGAAATCATTATTCTCTGAGTCAGCCTCAGCTAAGTAAGAGGATTTATAAACCAGCCAAATACACAATGAACCATAAATTTTGAAATTAAGCCAATAAATCTTGTTAAAACAAACAAACAAACAAAAGAAGCAACCCGACAACCTCTTATTTACAAAGCCTTACCTTGCACTTGGGGTACAAGCGAACGATTTAGAAACCACAACCTTCAGTCCCTACAGTGTGGCCGGCATACTAAGCCAGTAACTCAACATATTAACATTTCTGAGTGGTCCCTGTTAGGAGTCACAATTCCTAATCAGGTGATTTCTACTTGCGGGACTTGGTGGTAGCTGTGATGGATGCTGTTTTGGGTACCTCGCCCAAACCCTCTTTATCAAACAAATGCACGTATCTTTCAATGGTTGAGTTGGATGCTACTAACAGCTCACAGCTGGTCTCCCCTCTAGGGATTTGTCCTCTGTTGACAATGAGTTGCCACTTCTGGAATGTTACCCCTAATTTCTGTANGTATCTTTCAATGGTTGAGTTGGATGCTACTAACCAGCTGGTCTCCCCTCTAGGGATTTGTCCTCTGTTGACAATGAGTTGCCACTTCTGGAATGTTACCCCTAATTTCTGTACCCCCAGGACCATGATATCAGACCAAAGCCAGGTTTTACCAGAGGCTGCTCATTTCTCATTTCTTTCCCTTTCCTTACTACCCACTCCTACACCTTCCCTGCTATTTTTTTTTTTTCCCATCAGTCAATCAGTTGCACCCAAATCCTTATCTTAGGTCTCCTTCTAAGGAACCCAACCCAAAGCTCTAGCTATTTCTAGCTGTTCTTCACATATGTATTGCCATTCAAATTCTTGAATATAAGTAGGATCTCCTTTAGTCTCAAGTAACTTTTTTTTTTTTTATAGTGAAGTTCCTTCATCAGAGTCTCCAGATCTGAATGCATCAACCCTGTCTTCCCAAGTTTCCATTCTGTGTTTGCTCGTACAAAGATAAAAGGTGACTATGTGTCTAATTATTACCTTAGAAATGGATGTTGATATTTCATTGGGTTTCGGGAAACCAAAGTGACGTCTTGATAACATCAGCTGTGTGTGTCAGCGTCCAAGCTGGGCAGAGACGTCTCCACCCTAAAGAAGAGGCTGCGATGAGATACCGGCTTTCTGACTTGCAAACCCAACTTGGAACCATCCTTGAGAGATGCATTAAGGGCCTAGGACGTTCTGCAATGAGCACACAGCCTCCTGAGAGCTAGCAAAGCATTTTCCATTAGTGGAAGATGAGGTTGAAAGTAGCTGTGGGTCATGATGATAATAATGGCATTTAAAATATTCAATACACAATGAACATTCCACTCAGGGGCTACTGAAATAGATCCAAAGCTATTTAGTGACTCCCTTTGGTGATTAGCTTAGATGCACCTAAACTTTTCCTTTGAATCATCCACTAACCCCTGGCAAGAGAAACGCCATCGGCAGAGGGATCTTCATCTCCCCCTGTTGGCCCGGAGGTGCAAGTGCAAATACTATAGGGAGGAGATTTGGGTTAGTGCATATGATGCAAGAATGGATGTTGATTTTAAGGATGGTGCTTATTCTGGAGGTTGCAATGCTAAATTCAATATGGCAGGTGGCTGTGGACATTCGTGTCTTCTGGAGGTGCCTTCATGCACCTGGGGGAAAGTGGAAACTGATGGCAACGTCCAACCATGCTTGCTTGTCCAGATGGGATCTCTGGACCTACCGCCTAGAGTCAAATCCCTGCTTGCGCTCCACACTTCCTGCTTGCTTTGGGACCTCAGGTCACCTACCTGTTTGGGCATCAGTGCTCTGTATCAAATGGGTATAATAAAACCTTCTAGCTCATGGTTGTGAAGTTAATACAATGTTGCATTCTTAGAAAGCTACGTGACGGATAACACTGTAAATAATTGCCTGCAGTTATACTATTAATACATTAATCAGATTTAATATATTAGAATGGCAACTAATATGTTAATTCATAATTGATACATTACTATATGATGCTATAAAATGTAATTGCACATTAGAATATAAGAAATGCTTCTGTACATAGATGGAGAGGTGTGTCGGGAGGTGACTAGAAGGGTCAGTGCATCTTTAGCTGTATAGATGCTTCTGGAAGGCTGCCCAACCTGGTTTCATCAATCCACACGCCCTACACAGGGCAACATGATTCCTTTTTGCCTGTCTTCCTTACTACTCAACAGTCTCAGACTTAATTTTTTATGTTTTGTTTGGTTAATCTTCACCCGAGGATATATTTTCCATTGATTTTTAGAGAGCGTGGAAGGGAGGGAGGAGGGGGAGAGAGAGAGAAACGGAGAGAGAAACATCGATGTGAGAGGGACACTGGTATTCCCAGTGTGACTCTCATAATTGCCTTAAAATCAATAATCAGAGAAGAAGCCACGAATGAGAAGAGGGAAAAACATGAGGGAAAAAATACTTTCCATGATGCCACTAAACTCTAGCTATTTGATATCCTTTTTTATAAATATATATATGTTTTTATTGATTTTACAGAGAGAGGAAGGGAGAGAAAGAGACATAGAGAAACATTGACGAGAGAACCGCCAGTCGGCTGCCTCCTGCACGCCCCCTACTGGGGATCAAACCTACAACCCGGGCACGTGCCCCGACCAGGAATTGAACTGCTGACCTCTGGGCCCATGGACAACACCCAACCAACTGAGCCACACCGGTGGGCCAGAGTTATTTGATATCCTTCTTAAATAGCATGTCGATTAGGGCTCTTCTTGTTACATAATGACCCAAAAAAAAAAACCAGGAGGACCATTGCGGAAGATACTCAATATTAAAAGCCTGTTACATTGTTACACTGTGTCCTAGATTGAGCCCATTTGGCTATTACTGGAAATGATCTCGCCACAAACACCCGAGTAACCATTACAATGTTGCACAAGATATGCCCCGTTGTTTCCCACGGACTTTTAAATCATTTTTATTCGTTATTACCCTGCGCCCTAGTTTTTTGTTTTGTGTTTTCTTTTTAATTGGAAGACATTGTCTCCTGGTACAGTTTCTAATTAAATCCCCACACTGAACTGTGAAACCTGCCCCCAGCTTTTTATAGGAAGTGGACACCACTTGAAGGAGGAATTCATGCATTTTAACGATGCTGTTAATCTTTGCAGAACTAGGAACGCATCCCTGGATTTTAGAAAAATAAATGCTACCCGAGTTTGTTCTCAAGGTTGCTAAATTGAGGTTATTGTATACAACAATTCTATGTCTCATGGAACAAGCTTAAAAAGTAGTGCCTCTGCTGACCTTAAGGACATTATGCTACAATGTAGCAAGACATTTACAAATGGACACATTTGTATGATTTCGCTCATACGAGGCCCCTGAAGGAGTTGAATTCACAAAGACTGAAAATAAAGTGGTGGGTGCCAGGAGCTGGGGAAGGGGGGGTTGGTTAGAATTTAATGGGGACAGAGTTTCAGTGTGTCCACAGGAAGAGTTCTGGGGATGACGGTGGAGATGTTTCCACGACAACGTGAATGGACTTAATGCCACTGAACTGTGAACTTAAAAATGGTTACAGTAGTCCGGCTGGGCGTGGCTCAGTGGTTGAGCGTCGACCTAGGATCCAGGCGATCGGGGTTCGATTCCCGGTCAGGGCACATGCCCGGGTTGTGGGTTCGATCGCCAGGAGGGGGCGTGCAGGAGGCAGCCGATCAATGATTCTAATCACTGATGTTTCTATCTCTCCCTCTCTCTGAAATCAATAAAAACATATTAAAAAAAAAATGGTTATGATAGTAAATTGTGCAAGGTGTACTTGTCCATTAAAGAAATGTTAGTGCCCTTTAACGTAAAACTAATTAACGCATCTTCACTGTGCAAAGATAGTGAAGGGAAAGCAAGAGAAAAAACGATGTTGCCGGAAGCAGTGATTTCCATCGGCCGTCCCAGCTTCCTAGTGGTCTAGGCTGCTGATTACTTGTAAGGGCCTCGAGGAAAATCATGGTCCAGACCAAGATATTTCCATGAGTGGTTTTTATTGAAATCTATGTCACAGTGAAAAATGGAGCTGCCTTTTGAGCCAGTGATCTCACTTCTAGGAATATATCCTCAGGAACCCAAAACACCCATCAGAAAGAATATGTGCACCCCGATGTTCATAGCAGTGCAATTGACAATAGCGAAGATCTGGAAACAGCCCAAGTGCCCATCAGCAGACGAGTGGATAAAAAAGCTGCGGTACATCTACACCATGGAATACTACGCAGCTGTGAAAAAGATGGATCTGTTACCCTTTGGGGCAGCAGGGAGAGAGCTGGAGAGTATTATGCTGAGTGAAATAAGCCAGGCAGAGAAAGTCAAGTACCACATAATCTCACTCATATGTGGAATCTAATGAACAAAATGAACTGATGAACAAAAGAGATCCAGAGACAGGGAAGCATGGAGCAGACGGAGGAATCTCAGAGGGAAGGGGGGAGAGGAGATGGGAAATGATTAACCCAAGAGCTTATATGCAAATACGCACAACCTACGGACACAGACAATAGTGTGGGGAAGGCCTGGGGGGTGGATTTGGATGGAGGGAGGCATAAAGGGGTAAAACGGGGGACACCTGTAATACTGACAACAATTTTTAAAATGAAGAAAAATATATTTTTTTCTATGGAATCATTTTAGCAATGGTATTTCAAAAAACACAGACCCGGTAACATGAATCCAGTGCTTGGCAAGCTAATTTTTTTTTAAGTAACGGTTGGAGACAAAGGAGTCATAGAAATGTTTATAGCTAGCGGGCATCGTAGGCGTCTTCCAGCTCGATATTAAACTCCTGTTTGAACAGAGAGGGAAACAGAGCTTAATGACCACAGGAGGATCTCTGGTCAGGGAGGGAGCTAGAAAGCGGGACCTCCTGACCTCCAGGTTGTCCCCGGCTCCGTGTCATTAGGAGAAGCCTCGTCACGCATGTCCCCACACAATATTTACTGATTTGCTGTCTTCTGGTCAGTGGTCCGCATGACGCTGGACATCTTTCTGGTTATTTTTTTGCTCCACGGCATCAATTAGCAGGTTGGGCAGGACAAGCGTCGCCCTGACCTACTTCTGTTTTCTGTGACAATATTTAATTGGACAATATCTACGGCTCACCCATGAGGACGGTTCTGCAGGATGAGTCTGCATCTGCTTTTGCCCGAGCTTCCAAAATAACGGCGAGAACCTTCTGCGATGGAAACGACCCTGTTGAATGAGGCAACTCTGTAGAGGACTGTGGATGCAAAAATAAAAATAAAAAAAAATCCAAAGTTTGTACTGGGAACCCAGCCATACACCTTTTATCCCAGAAAATCCTTCAGAGGATTAAGTGGTATTGTGTGAGTTGCCTATTGTTTTCTGTAAATCCCGTCTGGTGGAGAGCGGTGTCTGTAAAACTGGGCACGGAGCCGCCCGGCCATCCTTCCTGTGCCGGCTGATCCCACAAATCACGTCCCTTTTAGGAACATCCCAGACACAGGACGGTTCTGTCCCCATTGAATCCCACCAAGCGGGTTCCGCCCTCAAAATTCCCAGCGGGAACAGCACCTAGGACGCCCGGAAGCAGGGGCTCAGCTAAATCACACAAGGTGATCCCATCGGCTTCAAAGGCCAAGTTCACGGATTGGGGCATGAATGCTTTTATTGCTATGAAAATGTATATTCAGAGGATCATTCTAACTGTTTTGAATACTTTTGAGAACAGACGATAACTCTGTCCACGTCTTTGTATTTTCTGGTGTGTGTCTTTTTAAAAAATTATTATTAAATATATTTTTATTGATTTCCGAGAGAGGAAGGGAGAGGGAGAGAGAGAGAGAAAAATCAATGATGAGAGTCATTGATCGGCCGCCTCCTGCACGCCCCCGACTGTGGGTGGAGCCCACAACCCGGGCATGTGCCCCGGCCCGGAATCGAACCACAATATCCCGGATCCTAGGCCGAGGCTCAACCGCTGAGCCACCCCGGCCAGGCTGGTGTGTGGTTCTGTTGCTGTGGTTTTGCTAATTGTCACTGGAGGATATTTTTTCCATTGATTTTTAGAGAGAGTGGAAGGGAGGGGGAGAGAGAGAGAGAGAGAAACATCG